TTGAGCAACCGGCAAACCGGCGAATGCAATCCAAATACGAATTGATACATTCACTGAACGATAATGGAGACAAAAATAGTCTTTTAGAATGAAAAAACTGATGTCATAGCAAAACATTCTTTAACGCTCGCATTGTGAGATCACCTTTTAATTTACCAGTTCAGAAACGATCATTTAAAAACCAATAATTACAATGTGAAAACTTTGTACCATTTCTATTAAGAACAATTATTTCCCTTTGATTGAATGAATCTTTCACTTGACAAAAAATGAGCACATAAAAATACAAAAATTAAAAGCAGTGAAATATTTATTTGCTGAATCTTTTTGTAGGGCTTCGTGATCGTAGCGGATAGTGGCAATAACCGCGTGCAAATATTCTATCCGAATGGCCGTTTCATGCACTGTTTCGGTACGTGGGGCGTTGGTGCAGGTCAACTGAAAGGCCTTGAGGATATCGCCTTACTCGACCATACAATCGTTGTGTCGGATCGTGAAAATCATCGAATTCAATTGTTTTGATCTGTTTGTCTTGTTACTCCTTCAAGAAATATCTATCATTAAAGTGATATTGTAATCGAATGTGATTATTGCAAATGACAAATGAGAAATTAGTTGTGAGATAGATATTTCTTATTTAATAAATCGAACGTGTATGTGCAAAATATCAATTGTATGTGCTTGTTCGTTTTTTGAATTATGCTAATCGTAAGAATTTTATTGACAAGTAAATAAAAATTTATTGTTTGCACGTTCATCAATCCCAACTTTAGGCTTTATTTATTGATTTTTGTTTTGCAATCATCGATTGATGGCATTTGTGACATCTGGCTTTGATTAGGTTCAAACAAATGTGTTATTACATCAAATCCACCGAGAAAAATTGATTGCAGCAAACAAGGTTTTTGTTGCATACGCAAAAGAGCGATGCGAAAGGTTGTACTTGTATTCGTCAACAATGTTCCTTCCATCCATAAAACTCTACTTTGGTGTTAAATTAAGTTAAGATCTGTTGAACATAACTTGCTGTTGAACATACATACAACTGATGTCGAGGATTTTTTACAAATATACTGAAGTCAACAATATGATGGATGTGCAATCAACAGTGCAAATTAAGGACGGAGCGATGCAAATTTCTGAAGTGCGATACTACTGAGAATTCGGTTTTCAGTGAGGATGACGATAGTTCTTCAAAAGAGCCAAAACCAGATCTGATACAAAAATAGCGATGTGACAGATCAAACAAGTGATCACTCAGGAGCACTTACCATTAGGAGCACTAATTGTAAGTGAAATGATTTTAAGTGCTGCAATAAGTGCTCTTAATGCTCCTAATAGATAAAGTTCTCCTAATCCAATAAGTGCTCCTAACAGGTAAAGTTTTTTAACTGAAAAGGCTATGAGCAAAGTGTCTTGCGTTGATNTGATCGCGTGATGAAAAATTTTATCAAAACAAATTGTTTCTTTAATGTAGGATAAGACTGAGTGAAAACCGCAATCAGTTGTAGTGAGAGAACAAATTGAATCGATGATCATGAATATATGACGAATATGTTGATTCAAGTGAATCTGCACGAGAAAACATTCTACTACGAACAAAGAATTATTGATGGTCGAGGGTGATCTGAAGGCATACGTCCACATTTGACTGAGGAAATAACGAAAAGCTTATTTCGCTATGTTTTGCTAGGTAGCGATAGCCCATCTCTGCATTTGACTTTACGCATCATCCGCTCGAAAAATAGAAAGCAGTCGTTAATACTGAGATGTGTCCACACAAAGCATTCTTGATTTTCGTTCAAATTTCATTTCCATCCAGTTCAGATTTTCAATGATATATTGTTCAAATTCTACACCACTACCAAAAAATTATTTCGTTAGTGGTACGACCGTGAGAGGCCGAATCAGGATTTTGATATCTTGTTTGTGGTTGTTTCCTTGTAGGTTAGAAGTGAATAATATATTGGCAGCATCGGAAGTAGCAATGAGATAATTCCAAAGTTCAATGAATGATAAAATCATCTTCAGAGACTGCAAACTCATCACAAAGCGCACTTACACGTCTCACATTTTTGAAGACACATTGAGGAGAGTGGTGCATTGCTGGTATGCTCGAAGCATTTGGATCATCAGAAACCGAAACGTCCAATTCGAATTGACTGCCGCAGATCCACTTTTTTTAATACTGTTATCAATATTGCCATCATTATCATACTTATACGAATTATCAATATCGTCATTATCAGAGCACTGTTCAATTGTGATAAGCGTATTGACTGCAGTGAGACTAGAGAATAGACTGAATTGAAACTGTGCAAAGTTCTGATATATTCTCCCAACAACTGCTCATTCGACTACTACCTTGGAATTAATTTATTACTTCGAAGCGCAAACGTATAAAATCGATTCACACCAATCAGTTTCACTGCATTACAATATCTATTCAGCAGGTTACTGGATTCACTTCAACAACA